AAGAAAAGAGGAGGTGTGTAATAGGGCTGTGCAAAGCTTTGGTTACCGATTTGATTCGGAGGAAATTTGGCCTGATTCGGGGGCCGAATCCCTGAATCCAAATCAAATCAGGAGACTCAGTAAAAGCTCTGAATCAATTTGAATCATTGATTCGGAAAAGATTCAGAGATTCGAATTGGCCGGGGGAAGCCCCCATGACTGCCCTGCCCAGCCCCAGCCTCCTGGGACTTTAAAAAAAAGAAAAAGACCTGCACTCACCAGCTGCAGCAGTCACCTGGAGCCCAGCAGCGCTCAGCCCCAGTGGCCCCAGCTCCCAGACAGCACGCAGTGTCCTGCCAGCTTCTGGGCACATGTGGTGATGCCCTGCAGGGCAGCGGGGGGCAGCAGGGATCATCCCCCCTGCCTGGCACTTGTGCGGCAGCTGCCTCATGGCACAGATGCAGTGTGGCCTGGCAGGACACTGCGTGCTGTCTGGGAGCGGGGGCCACTAGGGCTGAGCACTGCTAGGCTCCAGGTGACTGCTGCAGCCGGTGATTGTGGAGCATTTTAAAAAAAATGTTAAGTGCCGAGAGGCTGGGGCTGGGCAGGGCAGCCATGGGGGCTTCTCCTGCAGCTCCCCCTGCCTGAGGAGAGGCAGGAAATGCTGGAGGAGCCACGAGAGAACCTGCAACCACCCGGCTGTGTCTGCCTCTCCCCAGCCGATCCAAATCACCGAATCTCTCCAAATCAGTGCCAAATCTTTTGAAGCCGATTTGGCCATCTCAAATGGGGACAGTGATTCGAATCACCAAATCGAATCACTGTCCGCCAAATTGGCTGAATCCAAATCAAATACTTTGCTATTCACACAGGCCTAGTGCGTATGTCTGTCGCATGCCTTCTAGGGAGGAGTGGCTCTGCAGTTAGGGTCATGCTTTCCTGAGTTGGATGCAAAGGCGAATCTCTTGTCAAGCACAGGCACATTCACCTGTGAGAAAAAACAAGGCTGCAATGTGACAGTGGTCTTTTCCCCTCTACCTAGGGCTTTAGTTTAGGAATCTCAAGGCTCTATTATCTCCCTTTCCTTACAGCTCACCAAAATAATGTCCCTGCCTTTTGACTGTGAGGCGCACAGAAAAGGTACAAAGTGCCAATCAATCACCCTAAACTAATGATTCTCAACCAGGATTCTGGGCAAGGAAAGTGTGAGGAGATAAGCAAATAAAGTCAGGTTCAAGTTTCAGGTGTGAGGAGATCAGCAGGTAAGAGCAAGCTCAGGCTCTCCCTAGCTGCTCCTCCTCCTCCCCCCCCCAACAGCCTGCCCCCTCTGCAAGGAGGTATGCCCTGTAATGAAAAAAATATAGTTTTTGAAGTGGGGTACTGCTCAATTCACAAAAATTGTGGAGGGTGCCTTAAGTCTGATGAGGGGGTGCCTTGAGCATAAAAAGATTGAGAACCACTGCCCTAAACAAATTAAGTCAGAGTGTTAGAGGAAACCACAGACTGTACAACTGATAGTCACCTGGTAACCGTGGATCCACTTCTGCCTCCTACATCTTCCATAGACCAGAACCAGCTGGCTGCAGTGGGAACAGGCTTGTTTGACACCAGGAATGAACTGGAGATCTTCATAAACAATATCATGGCTCTCTCCAGGTTGAGCTGAAGTCAACTCTAGCTGACACCTGAAACTCACTCATATCTTTTGCTAGTTGGGCTCAAAGAAGGTGTGTAATACGCTAATCAGTGAATTACAGGCACCGATTTAGTTAATGAGTCAGGGCACTAGGCTGCTAAAGTGCAAAGAGTGCAGTATAGGGACACTAACTCAGGGGTTGCCTCTGAGCAGCAATTGTCTCAGGGACGCACAGCTACACACCATCCCCTACTCGGGCATGAGAATCAACTCTCATTCTGTGGCCTCAGTGGGCACATCTACATGTTCATTAATGTGCTTTTGCTAATTCACATTAAATTTATACTTCCATTGTGAAGTCCTAGAAGAAGGCTCATTAGCCTATTTTAATGCACATTAGCAGAAGCGCATTTTTTTTTGGGACGCTTCAATGTACATTAAAATAGGTTAGTGTGCATTAAAGCACATGTGTAGTTGCTCCCACTGACTCCATTCTGGGGTCTCCTCAGTTTACAGCAGGGGGATCCAACACCCGATTTACTTACAAGGCAGCTGAGGCTTGACAGAACCTGGCTAGGCTTAAATGAATCATAGTTCAAAAATAGCAGCAAAGGGAACTTAGAGAAGGGGCTGAAACTAAGAGATTGCTGTGGGAAGACAAAAAATGGGCACAAAGATCTATAATGAATAGCCTGGATTTTTTTAAAGCCCTTTTCCATTGAATTTCATCTTGGTAAAGGTCACCAATGAGATGATGAGGGTATATAATTTCTTTATTCGTGGGTGCAAGATGTTCACTTATGATGGCTGCAGTGATTTGTTTAAAATTATTTAAGACCTGTACTGTATGGGTGAGATAGTCTGCATGTGTTTAAGTGCAGGAGGGATGATGTTTTTGGGGGCTGTAAGAAAGCAATGAATGCTACAAATCCATTACCATTTCTGTGTTGTGTGTGAACAGGCAGGAAGGCAGCAGAGCCTACAGCATGTATTACATTTTGGGTATGTTTGAGAAACCTTGGGGTTGGTATGATTCATCAAAGAGCTTTTTCCAGCCTACTGTGGAATTATGTGTTCCATCATGATCTGACACACAGGAGTTCCCAGGTGGCCTTTTCATCTCAGATGGGCTTACGGATGCTAGGAGAGCAACTAGCCTGACATTTCAGCCTTCCTTGTCTGTCTCCTTAAAGTTACAATAGAGATGCAAAATAAAGCTGTAAAAGGTAGATGGAGGTAGATACTGTCACCCTCCCTTAAGAGAGATTTTTCGATTTCCGTGCCACTAAGCTTGCCTCCTTCAGTGAATTTATTCTGCGAAGTGTGTTAGAACAGACAGCCCCATCTGTCATATGGAGATTGGACGCATCTTCTCAGAGCTGCAGTATCTTCATTAGCACTAACCCAGCTGCCTGGTTGAGAAATGAGTTTTCCAGGATGCATTAGGACTGCATAATGAGTGTGGTGTTTTACTTTGGAGGCTACCAGGTGAATTTTTTCAAGGGCAGCTCTCCCTGGAGATTGCCTGCAGATTCGGTTAAAAGCCCAGGTTTCCTATGCCAGGTCTGTGTATGCAGTCAAGCCAATCTTCCTCTTAACCACAGCTACAGCTTACTCACATCTGTAGCTTTTTCTGTGGTGCCCCACAAGCACTTTAGAAAGGTGTTGTAATTGCTTGTTGTTTCTACACTTCTGTAACAAGGAAATTAGTTGGCAGTTATATTAGCCACAGATGGAAATTGTAAGTGGAAGAGGAATAGTTAGGACACAGGGCACAGGAATATACCCAGCCTAGGACTCCTAGGCTGCATCCAGATGAGCACAGCTGTGCAGTAGGTGGTGTGGCAGACATGTGTTCTCCATGGTGCAAGGGAGTAGTGCAGAGGACTTTTTTGACTCCTGGATATTCAGGGTCAAATAAATCTGCAGAGAAAAAAACAGAAGTGTGGCAGAATTGCTGCTGCTGCAGCCCTGGGAGGCCCCCAGGTAAGGCTGCCTCCCCTACTGTCCCTGGGGTAACTTGCCACACTCCAGAGGGCATGTGACATGGGCATTCTCCAGGGACAACCACTAGTTGTCTCTGGGGTACCAGATGTTTACACCACATGTGGACATGACTCTAAAGCCTATTTCTTGCCCTACTGTGGAATCACGGACTGGCCTTGTGCACGTCTTTACGCGCTCTGTGCCTCAGTTTACCCATCTATAAAATGGTCGTGAGGCGCCTCTGAGGTACACAAGAAGTTTTTAATATTTCAGAGTTCTTTATGACTTAGTACATATAGTCAAAAAGCCTGAGTCTGAAATGATACACTCTTTGAAGGTTAGTCTAAACTGCAAAGATTGGTACCAAAAAACAAATGAACAGACATTTACTTTTGACTGAGGAAATGCAGCCACATGCCTGCAGCAGCTCAACCAGAAGCCAGGGAGCACTAGAGCATGGTTCTCTGGCACGTAGCTTGCATGGGCTCTGTGTTCACTTCCTCTTCCTGATGCCCCTGGGGTCTCTGGGATTTGCAATCCACAATCACAGCTGCAGGACTCTGCAGGGTTGTTCATCACTTCCTCTTCCTGCTTCCAGGTGCCTCTGGGATTTGTAGTCTGTAGTTGCAGCCAGCATGAAGTAAGCAGGGCAGGGCAGGGCAGCTCTGTATTTAGGGGAAGGGAAGTTTAACCCTCCCTGCAGTGCTGGATTATGATATGCTAAGGCCCTAAACTGTCTATTTTAAGAGGCCCCATATGATAAAAATAATCCAATGTATGTATATTTTTGTCATATTATAATAAAAATGTCCATATTGAGAGAGTCATTTCCCTATATCTCCTTTATCTCCTTTATTTACTAACTGATTATTATAAAACTTGATATTGAGCCAGGTTTTTTTCCTATTTAGAGGCCTATCATTTTGTGAGGCCTTAAAATGTAGCTTAAGTAGCTCAAGCCTAAATCTGGCATTGCCTCCCTGGCCAGCTCCAGCTAGGGAGCAGAGGGGCAGGGCCAGCCCTGCTCTATGGAGGGCTACAAAATGCTGGGATGCTGACTCTGATTAACTTGAACCAGGATGGGATCTGGATCAGAAGTTTCATCAACTGGTTTGACCTAAATCAGTTAAGTCTTATACTACATTCAACCAGGTTTATCTTAAGCCAGTTTCAGCCATTTTGAAACTGGTTTATGCTCACTGAACTTCTATTCTGTTACATATTTAAACCAGTTTCTGATCACTTAAGCCGGTTTATATGTAACTTCTGTCCCTAGCCTATGAGACAACAGTCACTCTGTAGAACCCCCGAAAAGAAAACCAAATCTTGTTTATTTGCATTTTCTCTTATTATTTGCATGATTTATTCGTTCTCTTATTGTTTGCATTTATGTCTACAGATACAAAGGCTTTAAAGGCAACTGCTCCATTTCCTTCATCGATCAGTTCAAAGCCCTCCATCAGTGCAATAAGTATTGTGAGATGCTGGGGTTAAAATCTCTTCGGGCCAAACAGAGGAAGCCAACAGTGATGAAAAGCAAAGTTCAGTCAGCCTTACCTAATGCAAAGAAAATGGTGTGCAGCATACATACAACAAAGAAAACATAGAGACTTCATTTCTTTAAAGCATCTGGTAAAAACTGAACCACTTTGTAAGAACTCTCCAGAAGCATGCACAGATACCGAAGGGCATGAGTACGGAGTGTGAGCTTTCAGAGTTTTGAAGCCATTCTTTGATAACAGCAACAAAGAACAGCTGAGTCCATGGCTTACCCAGCTAAACTTCAAAGCAAGTGAAAGCCATTTTTCACAAGACAAACTCAGCTCTGTCTGGATTAATTTTCAAGCATTTTTATATACGTCAATGCCTGTCTAGATCGGTGCGCTTGCACATTTTGTTTCTTGGAATCTGCGTACAAGGAGAGCACTCCTCCTCTCCTGGCAACAACTACAGGTTTGGCTCAGTGATACCACGGCATTCTGCTACAACACAAGCATAAAACTATGATGACCATGCAGTAAAGGTTTTGCACTAGCGCTCAGTACTGGCAGTGGCATCAAAATTGTATCAGGATATTTGTTTTATTTCCTAATTCTTTGTGAACAGTTGCAATCCTTATGATACTCATATTCTTTGATGTATTTTTTTTCCAATTAAACTCCTTGTAAAAGAAGATTAAGCCATGTGGGGATTTTGATGCACATTTGTTCTCCAGACAGTCTCAAAGCCTGAGCTACCAACTCTGTAGCTTTTCTTAAAATGTGAACTCACCCAATTGGAAAAAATCCTATGACTGGATAGCAACTCTGCCTTTCTTATTCACAAAATAATCTTAATCCAAACTACTACAAGAAAAGATTGGTGAAGCAGGAAAGTACAGAGATCTTAAAATCAGATTTTAAAAAAAGTATGTGCGTGTGGAGAGGGAGGGGGGGTGGGGAAGGCAGGGGCAGGGAAATCATGGCACAAAATCAATGAACTTACTACCACCTGAAAACTGTTGTGCTGCTGTCCTACAAGAGGATTTCAGGTCTGTGTAACAGTGCTAACCCCAAAAACTTAACTGAACATTGGTAGTAGGTTGTTTGTGTATGTGTTTGAAATATTGTCGATATTGATTGTTTATCATTATCATTGTTATGTTTGCTTGGGAAAGGAAAATGGCAGTAGAATTAGAGGGCATGTGCTAGACTTAGGGGGTTGTCAACCAGGGGTATGTGGCAGCAGCGCAGAGAAGTGGGAGGCACTTCAGGTTTCGCTGCCAGTGCTTCTGGTTTTGCTGCCGCACGCTGGGGACTACCTTCCCAGCTCATTGATCGGCCACCAGGGGACTTCCCCTGCTGGTCAGCTGGCCACCGGGGGTATACCAACCAATAAAGGTTCAAAACCCCTGTGCTAGAGCCTTTAAAGGGCTCTAGCATATGCCATTGAGTCTGGTTATGATGCCATGCAGTGGTGCCTCAACACCTTGTGGGGTTCACATGCTGGAATTGGTTATCACTTCCCAGAGTGAGATAAAGAGGTAGAGAGATGGCACACTGTAAAAATTGGAGCTATTTGCACAATTCAGATCCCAACCAGGATTTTGAAACCTATGAGCCTTCAATGTCTGCTGGTATTTGGATCTGGTCAGTCGCATCTTTTGCTACATCATAAATGTCTGTCGTGTACAGGCTGCAGAGTGGCTTCTCCCTGACTTTCCAGAGCAGGAAAATTCTAGACATTCAACATCTGCTGGGCATGACTGTGAGTGATTAGGATTTGCCACTTCCGTGTGTTTTAAGATGCTTAATTTTACATCATTCTCCTTTTCCCCCTTTCTTTACAGGTTTCCCTCGATTTATGCGGATTCTTTATATACAAATTCGCTCTTATGCGATGAGCATATTTAGACCCATAATTCGTTATATACAAGGTAAACTCAGTCTTATGTGATCAGCATAGATGCCCCCCACCCAAGCAGGTAAGTCTGTGGGGGAAGGCAGAAGGGCCATGGCCCCACTCACCCAGCCCAGGGTGCAGCAGCCCCGGGAGTGGCTGCTGCTGGGCTGTACCATGCTCCGCCTGTCCCCCTGCGCCTGGGCTGACCCCAGCTCCTGGGCTGCGCTGTGCCATGGTGCAGGCAGCTGGTGTCGGCTGCTCTCAGGGCCACTCCAGCACGGGCTGGGGTGAGTGTGGACAAGCAGAGCCCCGGGCGGCATAGGGCGCAGCACTCACCCCAGCCCCAGCTGCAGTGGCCCTGGGAGCAGCTGACACCAGCTGCCTGCACCATGGCACAGCGCAGCCCAGGAGCTGGGGTCAGCCCAGGCGCAGGGGGACAGGCGGAGCATGGTGCAGCCCAGCAGCTGCAGGCAGCTGGCCCTGGCCACTCCCAGGGCTGCTGCAACTGGGACTGAGGTGAGTACTGCTCAGTTTCCTTTGCTTTGTTGCCTTGTGCAGCCCCAAGAGCGGCACCCCTCCCCCCACCCCTTCCCTAGTCCCAGCCTCACTCCCTTCCTCCCTCACCACCATGGGAACCTATCCTTATCTGTTACATTGTAAAGTGGGTTCACTTTATGCAAATTAGATTTATGCGCCATTCTCTGGGAACGCATGTACAGCATAAATCAAGGGAAACTTGTATTTGCTGCCTACTTCTGTTATCTTAGACCTTTGGGAAGCAGAGAACTATAAGCTAACAGAACAAAACCAAACCAAGAGATTCATCTGGGATGACATTTGATGCACTGAAAAATTCACCTCTCCATTGTGCTGACCTGATGAGTTCACTACTGATGAGAGAACATAGTAGGAAACGTGGTCCTCACCTGTAAAGGAAAAGGCCTTAATCCTGCAAATGATTCCAGAAATGGGGGGACTGTTGCAGCACCATGGGGAAACCTGGCTGCGCCCATGCAGCATTCAATGAAGTATGAGGGCCTCACTTTCTTCCTTATTCATTAATCCAAAAGTTAGAAAATGGTCATAGTCCAAACTTGTTAGTCAATGAATGGAAATGGGCAGGAACCATGTCTGCAGGGAGATTACTTTGTGTTGTGTATTCATGGAATGGCATGCTTTGAAGGTCTCTGTGGAGAAGATGATTCTTCCCAAGGAAGAAGAGCACTTTCCCTTTCAGCATAACCAGTATAAATGAGTCTTATAAAATGTCTTTCCTTGTGGGGGATTGCTCTCAAAGGCCACTGACCCAGGGTTAATGAATGACTCTAAATAAAGAGTTGGCGCTTGTTCTGGTTATGAATGGCACTTTGATGGATAGAATATTCAACTAAGTACTGACATCACTACTCAAAAGCTTATTGTTATTTCTTATTATTGATCTTGCAGAATAAATGTGCATGTGGAGCCCTGTATAATAACAGGTCTTCATCTGAAGGTTAACCATGTGCACATCTTTCACAACTACTGAAACTATTTGCTTTCGCACTGCCCAAGAGATTATCGATTTTACATTGTTGCCCAATTAATAAGCATAGTAAAGAGATAACCTACTGAAAATATATTAATGATACAATTCAAGTAACATATCTTAAATACTTATCTGCAGCATATCCATTACAAAGTGATTCTAATGGGAAAACTTAGCAATCATCTGCCTGTAACAGAACAAAATCTGCACTCAAAATAATTTCATGCTTCCTAAAAGCTTCCTAAAAGCATGACCTAGTCGGCGACCTAGTGATTGATGGGAAGCTGGGTGACAGCGACCACGAGCTGATCACCTTCACCATCCGCCGAAAAGCTGGCAAGTCGGTCAGCAACATGCAAGTCCTTGACTTCAGGAAAGTCGACTTTGACAAGCTCAGGAGGCTTGTCAGTGAGGCCCTAAGGGACTGTGACCACAGGGAGAGGGGAGTTCAAGAAGAGTGGTTGCTCCTCAAGGGAGCGATTCTCAATGCACAAACTAAGTCTATTCCATCTCGGAGGAAAGGCAGCAAGAGGGCACAGCAGCCCCCCTGGCTCTCCAGGGACCTAGCAGATCTCCTGAGGCTAAAAAGAAAGGCCTACAAAGGATGGAGGATGGGAGTCACCTCCAAGGAGGATTATTCTGCACTGGTCCGGTCCTGTAGGGAGCAGACCAGGAAAGCCAAGGCTGCAACTGAACTCCAACTAGCTTTGAGCATCAAGGACAATAAAAAGTCCTTTTTCAGATATGTGGGGAGCCGGAGGAAAAGCAGGGGCAACATTGGACCCCCAACATGGGGCACCTGCGGAACCAGATGGGGCAACTGACGCCCAGGAAAAAGCCAACCTATTAAATAGGTACTTTGTGTCAGTCTTTCATCAGTCCCATGGGCCGCCCATGCCCGCTACAGGGCCGGGAAGTCCGGGTGAGGGTGATCCCCTGCCCTCCATTAATGCTGACTTTCTGAAGGAACATCTTGAGAAGCTGGATACCTTCAAGTCAGCCGGCCCTGACAATCTTCACCCCAGGGTACTCAAGGAGCGGGCGAGCATCATAGCCCAGCCTCTAGCACGGATCTTTGAAAACTCTTGGCGCTCTGGTGTAGTGCCCGAAGACTGGAAGAAGGCCAATGTGGTGCCTATCTTCAAGAAAGGGAGGAAAGTGGATCCGGCTAACTATAGGCCCATCAGCCTGACTTCTATCCCGGGGAAGATCTTAGAAAAGTTTATTAAAGAGGCCATCCTTAATGGACTGGCCGACGCCAACATCTTAAGGGATAGCCAGCACGGGTTTGTTGCGGGTAGGTCTTGCTTGACCAATCTCATTTCCTTCTACGACCAGGTGACCTATCACCTGGACAAGGGAGAAGAGATTGATGTCATATATCTTGACTTCAAAAAAGCCTTCGATCTGGTGTCCCATGATCGCCTCTTGGAGAAACTGGCCAATTGTCGCCTTGGGTCCTCCACGATCCACTGGCTGGAAAATTGGCTCCGGGGTCGGACCCAGAGGGTAGTAATCGATGGAAGTCACTCATCGTGGTGTCCTGTGACCAGTGGGGTCCCCCAAGGCTCTGTCCTTGGACCCATACTGTTCAACATCTTCATTAATGATGTGGACACTGGAGTCAGAAGCGATCAGAACTGGCCAAGTTCGCCGATGACACCAAACTTTGGGGCAAAGCATCCACACCAGAAGATATGTTGGCCAACACTATGGAAGAAAGAGACTTGGGGGTCATCATTGACCACAAGATGAACATGGGCCTGCAATGCGATGTGGCAGCTAGTAAAGCAACCAAAACGCTGGCTTGCATCCATAGATGCTTCTCAAGCAAATCCCGGGACGTCATTCTCCCCCTGTACTCGGCCTTAGTGAGGCCGCAGCTGGAGTACTGTGTCCAGTTTTGGGCTCCACAATTCAAAAAGGATGTGGAGAAGCTTGAGAGAGTCCAGAGAAGAGCCACGCGCATGATCAGAGGTCAGGGAAGCAGACCCTACGATGACAGGCTGAGAGCCCTGGGGCTCTTTAGCCTGAAAAAGCGCAGGCTCAGGGGTGATCTGATGGCCACCTACAAGTTTATCAGGGGTGACCACCAGCATCTGGGGGAACGTTTGTTCACCAGAGCGCCCCAAGGGATGACGAGGTCGAATGGTCACAAACTACTTCAAGATCGTTTCAGGCTGGACATAAGGAAGAACTTCTTTACTGTCCGAGCCCCCAAGGTCTGGAACAGCCTGCCACCGGAGGTGGTTCAAGCGCCTTCATTGAACACCTTCAAGATGAAACTGGATGCTTATCTTGCTGGGATCCTATGACCCCAGCTGACTTCCTGCCCTTTGGGCAGGGGGCTGGACTTGATGATCTTCCGAGGTCCCTTCCAGCCCTAATGTCTATGAAATCTATGAAAAACAATCTTTTTTATTCTCAGATGTTGCACTTGATTTCAGCTTTCAGTGCAATTACATTGAAATACATAAATACTGACATGCCCACAGAAAAAC